ATGTATAGAAATTTAAATGTTTTACCTGCCTTGCTATTACTGACTACGACATTTAGAGAGCAATGGAGAGTGAGTTGGGCTTATGCTGTGGATCTTATGCCTCAGAACCCAAGCCTCCGAGTAATGCTGACCTTCGGACCAGCTTAGGAGAGACTAGGTACTGCAGTGCCGAAATACCCTTGGATGCGTTTGGAGACACACCTGTCTTATGGTGAATTTTGCTGAGTACAGTGTGATGATTAAGTAACAAGACGTTTTTCCTCCCTAACCCACATCTGTTAAATGCTCACTCTGTGCTGATGACTCTGCCGGGGCATGTGGCAGCGATGCAGAGATAATTGGCATGGTTTCTGCTCTCAGAATGTTCAACTGCCTAGTGGAGGAGGACAAATATGTACAAAGAATGCGAGAATAGAAATGAAGTCAGGGAAGGGCTGATAGTGTAATGAACTTGTCTATGCACACATTCGCTCCTTCTCTAGACTAAGTCTCTTATAGGCCAGGACTGTTCGAGTACTCTTTCTAAGTACCTGGTAGAGTGCATGGGACATTATTGAATATAGGTAAATTTAACATTCAAACGTAATTTTCACAGACTCTGAAGGTCTTTCTCACATAGAAATTATAAGCAATGTTGATAATAATAGATGGGTCCTCCCAAGGTAGCTACTCTGAAGGAGACAGTACTATGTTTGGATGTGTCTGACACATTAATCGTATTACTCTCTGCCGCACTGCACTTATCTAATAGTATACCAGGGATTCTACTGTGTTCTGTGTCTTCCATCATACTATTTATCCTTTCCTTTGGGTGGAAAATGAAGGTGTATGTTTAAAAGGTGTTATCAATTGACTATTAATATCTAAGTTAATGCCTTCTGCCCCTTTTGCTAGCTAACTGCTGGTTGGATTGTAAAGGAATAAAATTTCTCCTTGAAATCAGGACACAGTACTCCTGAGAAACTGTTCTCCTCCCCCACCCCTCCCTTTTTGTTAAAATGTGTATTTATGGAGCCTGCAGTGGCTTCTCTTATTTTGGCGTGTCCGCTGCAAAGGTAGAATTTCTGCCAGTTAAGGTTTCCGAATGAAATATAATCTACCATTTACCATTTATGTTCCTATTGGATAGGTGATGATCTAGCAACTGAAATGTCCTCTTTGTAAATCATGAATCTTTTGCTTTTCAAAGAAGAGTGTTGTGTCAAGAAGTGTGAATGCCATTCTAGAATTATTATCACACACTTCCTTGCTTCTTTTCCTCTTTTGTCCTGCAAGACGGGCTGTTGTCTGTTCCCACTGTCCTTGTTTGTGCCATTTTAGTCCTAGGCAAAAGGTTTTAGCACTAGAACTTTACAGCTAATGAGGCAAAAGTATAGTTTAGAAAAACAGTAATATCCAAGATCCCTATTATGAGAAAGAAATCTTAAGCTCAAATTGATTGGTATAACTTGTATTTGCTAAAGAGACTCTATATATAATATTTTGTTCAAAGAATTTATGTGAAAATAGGGGATGTCAAGAACATGGATCATAATATCTAATTTATGGCTGGTACTCAGTGGATTCTCTATAAATATCTGTTGAGTGAGTATAACTGTCTTCCAGGCATTCTGTATTAAGAAGTGGAAATTACCGTACATATCACCGTGTCCAAGAAGAAGAGGATTTAACCTGTACATAACCAATGTCCCTTCCCGACAGGGGGCCTATGTGACTGGATCCTGAGGTTCCATATATAATGGAATTTGCTTGCTAGGTAAAACTAAAAGGCTTAAAAATTTTGTGCTATTTTAAGAGCTGTAATTGATGGGGCTAAACACAACTGATTGTTCCAACCATAGGAACTAAACACAAGTATTTGGTGAGAATCTCCCAGCCGATAAATCTTAGGCATTATTTTTTTGGAAGGTTAAATGGAGTATCCATTTCCACTAATATCAGCGTGTCTCCAGGAGCAACTTCAAATTTAATTCATTGTTACCTAAGATTGTACAGGTGATTTTTCAGTGCCTCGATATTGTCTTTTGCAGAAACTAATACCTTTATAGCAACAAAGGTAATTTTATTGAGAGAGTCCATCTTAATTCTCAGATCTTCAAGGCATTTAAAAGAAGCCCAGGTTGTGTTGGACACTCTCTGTGTGAGGTTTATGTCCTAGACTTGCCAAATTCAAAAGGCAAGACACACCCCATTATAGCTCAGCTCCAGATGCAAAGGCCCAGAGCATATCACAGATGGACATGGACACTGTTTGAAATACTTAGCAGAACACCACTGAATATTTTTGCTGACTGTATAATGAAAGCTCTATTTTTAGGCTGTCTTCCCAGCAATGATTTTGTTAGTGAGAGAATTCTAATAGATTCTGTCTAGATTCCAAAGAATTTACCATGCCAGGTCCATTGTGGAGGTGGAGTGTGAAATGAGAATGGAGCCTAGAAGTATAAACCAAGGAAAATTCTTTTCACAGTTTTGATCTTGAATATATATATGGCTCTCAGGGCTAGATTCATCCTTAAATTAAGGTGCTGACCTAATAAAATAGTAGCAAGATAGTCAGTGGAACCTGTCATCCTAAAATCGTCAATGGGAGTAACAGTATGGAGGCTGCCACATCTACACTCATAGGATTACTTTCAAGGTCAGGAATCAAGTGCATTTGTCAAGGGGTGACTTGGAGGAGGGGTGAAGTGTTAGGATCTCTGCAGGCCCCTTTTAAAACAAGGTAAGCATACAATGTAAGTACAGTGGGGCCTTGACTTACGAGTTTAATTCGTTTCGTGATGGAGCTCGTAACTCAAATTACTCATATGTCAAATCAAAAAGTGAACGAGTGAGACACATAATGCTGGGCTGATGTTGTGGCACTCACTGTGACGTTCGCTGTGCCGACTAGCGGTGGGGTATCTGAAGCTGGCTCG